CGATTCTCGCCGTTCAAGCCAGAGACACTAGGTGGCGCCAGAGAGCAAGAGGGAACAGCGGCCCGGCCTCTCACCCGTGGGACGGTGTATTCGTTCTTCTTGATGCGGATGTACGTCTCCTTCAGGCAAGAGGTCTCGAAGGGCGGCTTCCCCACCAGCAGCGTGTAGCTGGACAGAGAGGGGGGGGGACGGGTTCGTCAGTCAGCGAGATGCACTAACTAACAGCAGGCAGATCATTCTGGTAGACAGCACAGCCGGTAGTCAATACGGTCAGTCCAGTCCAAAACCACACCGGAGAACGCAAGTCTTCTAGCTGACACACGCTCAATAACTACCCCCGCCCCCCCAACTCCAGTGCTTACAGGATGCAGCCCAGTGACCAGATGTCCACCTCAAAGCTGTGGCCCTTCTTGCACAGCACCTCGGGGGCGATGTAGTTCGGCGTGCCGCACAGAGTCTTCTTTCGCTCGCCATCGTACTCGATCTTCGTGGCCAGGCCAAAATCGCCTGCAGGGGGGCAAAAAAAAACAGGCAGGCATGGACTCAGGGAGCCAGGATGCAGAGCTGACGCCTAGAGCATGAGGAACACACAGCAGTGGAGGCAGTGATGTCATTTGACCAGTCTGCGCACGTGAGCAGTTCATCTCGGATGCAACAGGAAGGAAAGTACGTTTTCGAGGGTTTGCCAGTTTCTTGGCTCGGGATTTCAACTATCAGCAACTAAGGTTGCTGCTGGAAGAGGCGTTAGTGGGGCCAGTTAGTGATCTGTGTGGGTCCTAATGCCCCAGTGTAGTGACGGGGACACTATACTGTAAACAGGCGCCGTCCTTCGGATGAGACGTAAAACCGAGGTCCTGACTCTCTGTGGTCATTAAAAATCCCAGGGTGTTTCTCAAAAAGAGTAGGGGTGTAACCCCGGCGTCCTGGACAAATTTCCCATTAGCCCTCATTAATCATGGCCTCCTAATTAATTCCCCTCTATGAACTGGCTTCATTACTCTGTTCTCCTCCCCACTAATAGCTGGTGTGTGGTGAGCATACTGGCGCACTATGGCTGCTGTTACATCATCCAGGTGGGGCTGCACACTGGTGGAGGTGGAGGGGATCCCCATTACCTGTAAAGTGGATTGTCCAGAAAAGCGCTGTGCAAGTCTGAGGAATTATTCCTTTTCACGAAATGAATGTCAGCTGACAATTTTCTAACATCGCAGCTCCAAAACCCAAAGGGATCCCCCAAAAACCCCCTACCTCTGGACTGGAGACCCCCAGTCCACAGCACTGCCCACCCCTCACTGGTGCCTGGACACGAGTCCAGATCTTTACGAAACAGAACCCCTGGCTCGTCTCTGCAGGGAGAAGAACAGTTTTCTGAGCAGGCCCAGCTGCATTACCTATCTTGACCTCCATCTCGTCGTTCAGAAACAGGTTCCCCAGCTTGAGATCTCTGTGGATCACTCTGTTGTTGTGGAGGTACTGGCACCCCACAATAGTCTGCCTCATATAATACCGGGCCTCCGGCTCAGTCACCGCCTTCCTCCTCTTGTGCAACTCCAGCAGAGACTGGAGGGGTGGGGAAAAAAAAGATGTTCAAAGACCTCAGTGAAAGAAATGCAATTAGGTTAGAAGTACAGACTCTGCAAAAACGTGTCAGAAGGGAAGTTTTACAACTTGAACAGGAGAAATGGGGGAGATTACGGGATGAAATACTTAAGTACAAAAGCAAATCAACCCTATCAAGTTGTAAGTAATTCAGCTAGGTAGCTGCGTCAGCATGCATAGGCTGCAAAGGAACAAGTGATAGGTTTATTCCGTGCTGAAAAGAGAAGAAAGGAAACAACGTTTCGGCTGTGGAGCCTTCTTCAGCTGTGAGGAAGGCTCCACACCCGAAACGCTGCATTTCCTCTCTCCTCTTTTCAGCACGGAATAAACCTATTACTTGTTCCTATTAAGTTGTAAGACGCCTCCAAAAAAAATTTTGATCTTTACGCAGCGGGGGAAAGTAATCACTGCACTCATTCCCAAACAGTTTGGATACAAGGGTAGCCAAAAGGTGCACATTTAGAGTCTGTTGGGGGGAAGGGGAGGGGTGTTCCCTTTGACACGCTGGAATAGCTCGGGCAGGAGCCACACTCCATAGGAACAGGAACTGCAGGAGGCGCTCGGAGCGCCATGGCAATGCGAGTCCAGGCAAGCGCACGGCCGGGGGAGGCTGCGCAACACCCGACCCGAGGGAAAAAAAAGGCTGGTGTACGCGCAATCGGGTGCCATTTGCAGAAAAAATGGGGTTGCAGCACTGAGGGGGTGCGCCCCGCCGCCCACACACACACACTTAAAAACCACTCATCTCCGGGTAACCGTTTTTTTAGAAAGTTACCAAAATGGGACACTGAGCATTTGAGCCTTTTCCTCTAAAAATGTAACTTATTAAAACAGCAGGTGAACAACTCGCCACTATCATCAGCTTCATCAGTCGGTTAACAACTCGCCACCCCATCCTTTCGGTTATAGAAATGCCGGATTGTCCTCTCCTCCGCCCGGGCTCGGCCCGACCTGACAGTTACAGTACTCACCCGTCTCCGGCAGATCTCCAGGACCACGTACACGAAGTCCTCGTCCTCGAAGAAGCCGTGAAACCCGACGACGTGGGCATTATTCAGGCTCTTGTGGATCGTGATTTCCATGGACATTTTCTCTTTCTGATGCGGCTTCAGTAACATGGACTTGGGGACGACCTTCCCAGCGAAGACCTCCTTGGTGTCCATATCTGTGATCTCGTAGCACTTCGCGAACCCCCCCTTCCCCAGAAACCGGCCCCGGAGGTACCTCTTCTTGGTCCGGGTGTCCACCAAAATATCGGGGACCTCCTTTAGCGGGGCCGACTTGGGGTCAACCTGCACTGACGGCTTCATCGCCTTCGCTGCTACGGCGGCGGCGCTCATTTCGAAAGTTAAGCGTTTGAATATATTAATGTAACCTCAGCCCTCTGTACAGAACCTACCGAGACTTGTACTTATATCGATTTTTTTTTTTAAAAAAAGGCAGATCCAGAACTACACACCAACGGACACAGGCCAAGTCTTACAGCTACTACCCTTTCTCCGAGCCGCATAGAAATTCAAATCAAAACTTTTCCCCGCAGAAGACAATCGGCTCGATGTAGACTCATACGGAGAGGCTGCTCTAACTCAACCCCGAGACGCTTTAATGTTAATAAAAAAAAGTGTGCAAAAAGCGCTGTGTATTTTGTTTGTCAGCCAGTCCTAACCCCCCTCCAACGCCCGTCTCTACCAGCCCCCTCTGTGTCCTTCTCTGGCAATACAGTCCTTGTGGACTCGACAGCATTTCAAATCCAGCTCCGTTCGTTAAAAGCGACGGCGCCGCCCGTGATTGGTCCGCAGGATTTGAAATCCAGCCTGCCCGCCGCAGGGCAGCATGGGAGCGCCCAAGTTTAAATGCCCCCTGAGCTTTTGAACCAGCTTTATTGACAGCCCCCCCGGACGAGACACACAACAGCAGGAGGGCACGCTGCTTTCTCCCTGGTTACACAGAAACGCCCGACGCAGTCTTGTTGTTGTTGTTGTTTTTGAGTATGGAAATACTGGTTTGCAGAAATCACCAGTACTGGTTTGAAATCTGACAGGACTGTAAGTATATTCTAGTGACTCTGGTCTAATGTTTTTATTTTATTTTCAGGCTTGTCTTATACAGCTTCTGTAACCAGGTATCTAGTAATGGGTAATTGTTGATATAAAGAGTTATTCTTTATATGTAATCGTTCTTCTATGAGGATCAAAATGATCGAGAAGTGAATTCCATCCCCACGCCCATCACACAAATACTGTACCATTAAGCATTTTCCTGTATCCGTATTCCGCTGTGGAGTGTTAAAAATGAATTTTAATCAATTAAATGCCATTTATTTTTTTACCCTTTACAGTGCGCTGTAAACACTAACTCGAAATTTATTTTTAAAAAGTCCTGCACCTCCCAGTTCCTGGTATATTTTATCCCATTTTAATCGGCACACTTAAAAATCTGTGTGTCGTCGGGCTGCTATGTGGCAGTTACTTGAAAAACAACGACCACCGGAGTTTATTGGGAGGAAAAAACCATTACGAAGCACGTAGTTTTGGGTAAGCTATTAATTGGATTACAATGGGAATGCCAAAAGGACATTAGTCACTGAAGTACAATAAAACTGAGTCACATGAAAGTGACACCGATTTTCCTCGTACCTTGGGTTGTTTGGAAGAGTATTTTCAGGACAACACTTCCTCTAATCGGTCGCAAATTACTTAGCTTGAGCATAACGACAATCTTCTCCTGTCCCGGAAAATTCTTCCATTTCCTCAGAGCTCCGTTGGGGAAGCGATATCCTGTTTGCCTAAGCGACAGGATCTATTTTCTCTCAATTCATGTATATATATATATGATTATAAAAGTTATCATTAACGGTACTGTAGTTAAATCGCCCGTCGTGGCAGAGGGAAGGAAGTGTATTATTCGGGACGCGAATTAGCCTTTCAATTCAAAAACAAAGTCCCTAATTAAAAAAAAACTACCGAATCCGTGTGTTGCTGTGTGCTGTGTGAAAACTGTTGATTATCGAGGTGAATGAAAATAAATATTTCTATAAAAGGTAGCAAATACAGACCGAGGGCCTTACAGGAACGTATCTAACACATTGTATTTGTGACATCCAATGATATATGAGAAGAAAAAAAAAACAATTTAAAAAGAACAGAAGGGATTTGCGTTACTTATGGTATTGGAACACTCTGACCACTAGAGGGCGGTGGCAGGCGGGTCACGGCTCTGTGTCCCAAGTGCTCCGGAGACACTGAGTGCCTGGAAACGTTAAAGTTTAAGAACGTTTTGGCAAGTCCTTTCACCCGGTCGCAGATAATCGCCGAAAGGGGTTACATCCAGTAGTTTTTTTTACTACGGTATTTTTTTGTAATTCAAGGCCACATTGGTCACCTAGTTATATCACTCCATTCAATTTAGCTATATCACCCTTCAGTTCACCATTTGCAGCTCACTGAAGCTCCGCAGGTGTGAGCCTGGTCAGTACCTGGGTGGGAGACCTCCTGTGAAAAACTAAGGCTGCTGCTGGAAGAGGTGTTAGTGGGGCCAGCAGGGGGCGCTCACCCTGTAGTCATTTGGATCCAAATGCCCCAGTATAGTAATGGGGACTCTATTTTTAAAAAGGTGCCATCGCTCAGATGACCCTGACCTTCTGTGGTCACAGTATTTCTCAAAAAGAGTAGGGGTGTAACTCTGGTGTCCAGGCCTTGATCATTCATGACCTTGACCATCCCCATCTATGAATTAGCTTCATCTCTATGTACTCTGCACTGATGACTGTACTGTCCATTAAAATCACTCAAGTCTCAGGATTCTGCTGAGATATCGAGGGCTTTACAACAAGGGGTGTCAAAATAAAGGGGTTTATGGAAATATGCCTATCTGAAAGCGTCATGCACTGTCAGAAAGGATAGGGAGCCTGCTTCAACCTTAGCTCCCGGCCCACTGCTATACAGTCCTTGACTCTTTCCCCTCAGCTATTTAGCCACCTGTGAACATCTCTTTTACAATTCACTTTGCTACCTGTTTACGTATTATGTGATTGTGTTTTGCTTGTCTCTGAATTTCAACTTGTATTTGTTAATATTGTATGTTGTTTGTCAGCGTAATCGTGTTCTCTTGCTGTACCAAAAGCAAACTCCACCGAATATTGTTGTGTGGCAATATCAAATAATTATTAACTAATAGTTAAATAATAATTAATTGATTACTTAATTTTAGGCGATCGATTTTTAAGTATTCAAATATATTATTACAGTCCAAACAATGTTTGATAGGAAAAATATTACACAGGAACAATACAAAGTTAATAGTGCACTGCAAGACTTTTCCACAACGTTCTTGCATTTACTGCTGTATATGTTACTATTACTTTACTTTCATATGATTGGTAAGGAAAGCAAAGTTTATTTTGTAAACACCTTTGATTATTTTTAAGAATGCAGGCACCCGTTATCAGTAGATATAATACACATGGGCTGGGACCATTCTGGCTATTCATTAACTATAACATGTTCAAATAAATAAAAATAAAGAATGGAAGCTATTAACAGACTATTTGAGCTTCACCCCCTCCAATCCTCCTGGCACAGTGTGCAGTGCGTAGGAGGCAGCGTCTGTCAGATTCAGACCGGATGTTTTTGTGCTTCTCAAGACTCTTTGGATCATTTGCTTATTTAACCTCCTAAATGGTCTATTCATTCCCAGTTTGGGAGGATCAATAGATACACATGTCTGTTCAGCACAGGGGGATATCTTGTGTGTGCAGATTTGAATATCAAAAGGCCACAGTACGTTGGCTCCAAACATGTCAAGCACATCTGCCAGTGCTGGAGACAATGGGCAGAGCTTGCAGAAGATGGGATTCATGTGGGTCTTGATTAGAGCACAGGTAACAGAAATAGATTCTTTAAATACACACTGTTTACATCGTGCCGAGAGAAAGAGAGTGTGCCTTAAAGATAGATGAGAGGGACAGGAATAGGGAAAAAAAAAACATCAGCCATCCAGATTGGCCTCCAGCGTGTTCCTGACCTGCACTGCGGTTCTCATTAAGACAGCTGCAGTTGCTCAGCTCAGCTCGCCTGCCTTCAACCTGAGCCTCTGTGCTCACAGGCACCATGGCTGGATCAGGTGAGGGCACAGCAGTGTGTCGGTTTCTACACAGCAGAAAGGGGGTTTTGTGAGCCAAAAATGAATTGCTAAACTCTGGGTGATGTAGGAGTTTGATTGTCCTCTTGCAGAATCCAGACCCCTGGGTGTGTACAGTACTCGCCAATGGTGCCAGCTGCACAGCAGGTCCTTGTCCTCTCTCCTAGCTTGCTGTGCCTCTTCATGCCCCACCTGCCCATGTTTCACCTTTAAGAGTCTACAATTCATCCCTGCATTTCTTTCACTTCTGCACCTTTTGTGGCTTTACCCTCTGTATTGTGCTTCGTTATTGCCTTTCTCTTTATTCTGTATGTTGGGTTTTTTAGTCCAGCAATTGTCTGGTATGCACGTCATCTTGGATAAGTGCATCAGCTAAAAAAATAATACGAGATGCGTGATACAGCCCTAGAATCCGTGTGAAGACTAAATCAGGGGAGATGATAATGGACAGAGGCTGGCCTTTCAGTTATCAGATTGGAGCCCTCAGGTTTCCCTGATTGCGAGGAGAGAAGAGGTGTCCATTGTCTGCAAATACATCCACTCCGGTTTCCTAGCACGTTCCCAGAATGCTGTCGTGGGAAGGTCAACTCTTTCAGTACCACGCTGTCTAATCGGCTTTCTGATCAGACTCAGTGCACACGTGAGGCTTTTGTCGAAGGCATAAAAAGGCAGCGCTCTCACGTGTAGACTGCAGCAGCCAGCTCCTGCAAATGCCAAGGCCCTGCCCAGCTCTGGGTGGGAGAGATACTGAGTAGAGAGGAGTGTGAGGAAGTGTTAGAGTCAATCCCTTAGTCCTAGGCTTGTCCTCACTCTTTTGGCCTTCTCAGGTAACAGCATTTGCACTTCAACCCTGTGTGTGTTAATGTAACTCTGTTTTGATCCCCGGAGCCAGTTGTTCAACAGCTGCCACCTTACGAGCTGCGGAGAGGACAAATAAAAACAGATGGAAACACAAACACGGGCTGAATCATCCGCTCGCCCTGCTTGATGGCGTTGGGTCCCGTTCTAAACCTCGTGTTTTCGTTCTGCTGGCCGTCGGAGATGATCGCGTGCTGTGGTGCCGCCTTGCTCCCAGTTCTGCGCCCGCTTTGTGTTTCTGGATGAAGGCGGAACCCAGGTGCAGATCTCCTCTGGCATGTGAGCAGGAGAGGCAGCAGTCACAGCGGATACAGAAAGGATACAGGCCGTGTGGAAAGCATCGCTCGACAGAGTCGGGGGAAGAACTGGCTGTGGCCAAGATGTGAACAGGATTGTGGTTAACAGGGACAGAGAAACAGGATTCTGAGAGGGCCGTGCTGTTGGCAGGCAAGCTGACGAGAGAGGGGCCTCGTTGCCTGTGTTTGTGTTTATCTCCTGCGTTGAAGTGGTCACGGAGCACTCGAGCTCGTGAGTCCTTCCTTCCTCTCCATTCGCAGACCTTCGATTTCCCCCGGCCCCCCCATTGTCTGCTGATTGTCCCAAACGACATGACCGTCCTGGAGTGCACTGAGTGTTCCATTTCCTGCTTCCAAGGAACACCTCACCCTGGGGGGAAAACCGGGAAAGCGGGGGGACAACTTAGGGATCCGAGCAATCTTTTCCCTCTGGGTGCATACAAATGCATGCACCCATTATGGAAAGGCATGGGTGCTGTGTATTCAGAAACTGGTACAGTGCAAAAGGAAATCTATAACTGGGAAATGTGTAGGTGGTGTGACAGGTAGGGAGTAAGTGTGTGTGGGAAGGGGGGGCTATAATTAGTTCACATCTCGAATGCATCTTTGTGGGACCAGGCATTGTGACATCACAGCAGTCCCACTAATGAGCACTCGAGTGCAGTGAGGAGGCAGGGGGATATTAATATCCAGGACTGTAAAGGGAGAGTGAACAGGCGAGCTGCTCACTTAGCTTCCTTTGCCCTTTTATAACCCTTCTGTGTATTAAGTGGTGGGTTTTGGCCTCTTTCCAAGTGGACCAGGAGAGAAGCAGAGCTCTGGGCATTGGGGGTTCTGTCGGGTTGTTCCCTTTGTTGGACATTTCTGAACTTTTCCATGCCTTTCTGTGACAACAGGTGGCCCTGTGGCTGCAGACGAATCCTGCAGGAAACGCGTTCTTGTCACTGAATTGTCACCTCAGAGAACGGCTTTCTCCTTTTTGTTCTTCCAGAAGGTGGCCTGGAGGGGTTGCACTCACATGGCTTCATCCCTGCTATGTAGAGAGTGCCTGTTGTACAGAGATTTAGTTTCAGTCACGCTGTTGTACTGTTCAATTCCAGTTGCAGAGCCAGTAAATTGCCCAGTTTGTTCATGAAGTCGCAATCCTACAATCCCTGCAATTGCAGGTGCAGCCTGTGGTTTTGGAGAAAGGTTTGGTTGCTCAGACGTGAGACAGGTACTCTTGGCCATATTCCCCCTGATAGCAGCATGAGAGATTATATGGCTTCTGATGCACAGTGGTGTTTCTATCTAAATTACGACAATGATCAAAAGGTGACGTCCTTGAATAATTCTTGAGCTTTTACCTTTGTTTTACTGAAGAAATTAAACTCTTAAAATGCGCCTGTGCCTTAACTTTTAACCCTACTCTCCCTGTCACATGTGCTTGTGTTACTGCAGGACTGAGGTCCTGACCCGGACTACAAGCAGGAAGAGAGACAGGCTCTTGTCAGCTCCATCAGCTCAGATGGTACCAACCACGTCACTGAGTCTAGATAAACCGATCTGGAGGTGAAGACCCACCTGGAATGAGGAGTGCAGGACCCCTGTGAAACACCAACTCTGAACACAGAAGGTAAATAACATGTGAATGACACTTCCATTTAAGTGACAGAAGTTTGAGGCACTTTCTGTAAAAATGAATGCATTACAAAACTCCTGAAGACAGTGTATTCTGGCCCTGCAAGAATGAAAGGGTTGGGGAGTTACATTTTCTGTTGTTCACAGGGCACCCAGGCACATGGGCTTACTGAGCAAACACTTTTGTGTATATTTTACTGTGCTGGACCATGTGGATTCTGTTTATAGCACCACATATCACACATGTTTTTATTGGGTAAGGACAGATTGTGGCTCATGAGGATCCTGTCCAACCAAGCTGCAAACAAGCTGTGAGGAGAGCAGGGCAATGTGTACAACCGAAAGCAGTTATTTTGTAATGGGGGGCTGGTATTTAATCCAGTGCCCATGCCAGGGCAGTAGGCCAGGGCATCCCAGCTCCTAGCCCTAGCTCCTGTCCTGATACCGTGTTGATATGGAAACTTTTTTTTTTAGTCTGGCGTACATCAAAGTCCAACAGGAGGATGAAAATGATCATTAGACGTGTTTGCATTGTGGCTCATCTTTAATTGAATTTTTTTTTTGTCAGAGGTATGAGTAATGCACAGGTCACCTCTCAGTTGACCCGCAGGGTGGCAAAGCAGTTATGAGATGCAGTAGTTATTGGGCGATGGCTGCAGAGCCCAGGGCTCGCCTCCGTTTCAGGATCTGCAGAGCAATAGGAGAACCCGTACTCAGGACTGAGGCAGAGTGTCTCACTTTTACAGTATTACTGCACAAACTGACAGGGTGCCTGTGCGTTTGGAAGGCGTAAACAGACAGTATCGTGTTCATCGCTATCCCAAGAGTCAGGGATCTTCTTGGGCACACTTGTTATCATCCTGTACTACACCTAACTCTTAATGAATTAAGAATAGGGGTTAATTAAAAACAAATTCTCATGTACAATGAGAGCTTTCTGAGTGAGGTGCATTACTTTGTTTAAGGATGCAACACCTGGGTATTTGAGCACAAAACCCCTCTGATCTGAAGAGCCCTTACCACTTCTCCAAACTGATCCCTCTGCCCAGGCAAGCACTGAGACCCTGATGTAGGTGTGGGTAGCCCTGAAATCGTACCGCCCACCATCCCTGTGCAAAATGATGAGTTTGTATAAGAGCTGGAGAACTGTGCACATGCACACATTACACCACCATGCAGGCCTGGGGTAATGTAAATGAATCTGATGACTTTCATTTGAAGAGTCATTATGTGGAGTGAATATGGGCATGTGATTTAGTTGTTTGCACTCCTGTGAGATTTACTTGACTTAAAAAGAGACCAGAGCAATGTATTGCAGAGGCAGTGTCCCAGTCCCTGCGTGAACAGATTATTTGAATGACAGGAGAAGAAACAACACCAGTTGAATTCAATAGTATTTATTGGACATGGTACTCTGTATTCAAATGCCATGTTCGCTTTCCTGCAGCCCTCTCCCCCACAATTCCTTACAGGGCTCCCTCTATTCAATTAAAACCGTCCCCCCCACCAGATGTCACTTTCAACATTGCAGTGCTTTGCATAATTTTATACATAAAGTCACCATAAATCTCCCTCAAGAGGTTCTGAAAACCTCCAGCGTGGAGTTAAAATAACAGAGTAAAAAAAAACAGCACAGTACTTATTTATTTTCCTCCCACCGACTAAAGTGCAAATGAGACGTCTCTATGACGGCTCCGTGTCCTCCTCTCTGCCAGTGCTGCTCAGACCAGCTCACCGACAGGCCGGACCGCCGGGTTCCCTCTCTCTCAGCCCCGTACCTTCGCTCGCACGGCGCCGTTTTCTCCACCGTCAGTCCAGAACCGGGCACTTTCACCCCTCTCTCTCTCCAGAGTCACACGGCCACCCGGGGCGGAAGCCTGGCACCGAAGGCGTACGGAAAATGAAGGCCGTTATTCGATTAGTACTATTTTTTTTTTATTTAAAAAAAAAGAGCACCGCAGTTCGCTTAGGAAATGATGCAGCTGTTGGTCTTCTTCATGGGCGGCCGCTTGCGCGCCCCGGCGCTGTCCTTGGGGATGGTCTCCCTGCGCCGCCGCAGCGCCGGGCTCAGGCGGCTGGGCAGGTTCACCTGCTGGAGCAGCTCCTTGAAGACGCCCAGCACGTTCTCGCTGCTCTTGGCCGAGGCCTCCAGGAAGGTGGCGTTCCAGTCCAGCTCCACGGTGGACAGGATGTCCTCGGCGGGTACCTGGCGCTGGTTCTCCAGGTCCGCCTTGTTGCCCACCACGGCGATGGCCGTGAGCTTGTCCCCCTTGAGCTCCACGATCTCCTCCCGGAGCCGCCGCACCTCGGCGAAGGAGTCCGGGTCCTCGATGGAGTAGACCAGGGCGAAGGCGTCCCCGTCGCGGATGCACAGCTTCCGCATGGCGGGGAAGGAGTAGCTGCCGCTGGTGTCCATGATCTCGATGCGGATTTTGGTGCCGTCGATGTCGTACTCGATGCTGTGCAGCTCCTCCACGGTGCGCTTGTGCTTGCTCTCGAACCGGTCCTGCAGGAAGCGCCGGATGAGCGCCGACTTGCCCACGCCGGCCGCCCCGAGGAACACCAGGCGGACCGTGGTCTTTTCCTTCACCGCCAGAGACATGGCCCGGAGCTGCTGGTTCAGTTGTGGCTGGCTGGTTTAATTACTGGTCAGGAGACGATACAGGGGAGCGACACAGAGCCGAAGCAGGGCGCGCCTTCGTCCCGGATCGGAGAGATCTCTTCTCGCCTGTGGAGAGCGGGAGCAGAGCCGATCAGTACGCCGTCTCGTCGAAGATTCTTGGTTTAAAAAACAAAATCTACAACGACAACGCTCGTAAACTGGCAGCTTCGATAGGCTCTGACCTCCCCCCTAAAGCTCCTGTCCCAGCTTCTGAGATCAGATACCTGGTGTGTTGAGCGCCTGCAGCCGCAGGTATTTAAGTGCCGCTGACCTGCAGCGTCAGCCGGGGCGGCGCCCAATGGGCAAGCCGGAGGCGTGTGTTTGACCAGGGGCTTGGCTGCCAGCGCAGGGGGGTTATCAAGTGTTTGCCAGCTCTCCTATCCCGCCGATAAGAAGAGGCAGAGCGGAGTTTTTCGGCCGATGCCTCGGTATGATTTCTTCGCAACCTTGGCAGAGCGGGTCGCAAGAAGCGGTTGGATGTTTCGTCTTTTGCGCGAAACCGTCGTTGGTTTGTTTGTTTTTTTTATTTTTTTGTGCCTTTGGTGAATTTCAATCACGTTTTCGATCTTTAATTCACTGTTTTGAAACCGCGAATATGAGAAGCCGTCCTTCCCACCTCGGGAATGTTTGCTGCTGCTCATAAAACCTGAGCATACAGTATTATAGTGCTTTAGTTATTTAAGTTTTTTCAGTTTGTTTAAAATATTTGTTGGGGATATACCTTTCAATTATCCACTCATTTGCTTAAGATACGGCATTAAAGCATTACAATAACAGTTCTGTTCTCTTTCCTCCACTAACCTGTGGGTTATTATATTAGCTGTATTCATTCAATTCAATTCAAGGTGCTTTATTAGCATGACCGATGGGTACAATCAGTGTTGCCAAAGCAAATGAAAGCAATGATATTTACATTAAACAAAACAAAAAATAGAATTAAAACAAAATCTACAGACATATTACAGACATTTACAACAAAGACATATTAGAAAATATTGACATATTCTGTAGGCGGCTGTATTATCTCCCCGAGAGGGTGTCCGTTTAAAAAGCTCTGTTCTTTTCCATTTCTTGTTGCGTCATTATGTCTTGAACACCAGGAGGCGTAATCACACAGTTCAGTTTGGTCCAGTTAAACAGCTTCTCTCACCGCTCCGGGGATCTTATCGGTTTCATTCCGCCTTGACCTGGACGTTTCTCGAATATTTATTCCTTCAGTGGAACGCTCGATATTTCGATGTGTGCGTTGTCTTCATTTAAATGACTGGGTCTGCATGTACACTTTTTACTTTTTTAATTCTAGTTTTATTTGGCTTGAAGTTCAGTGTAGTGCTCAATTCTCTCCCGACTAATGGGTTGCAGGTTCGCTGCTGACATAGTTCCACCTTAAGCGAGGTACCATTCTCCAGGGGCTCCAGTCCACCCGGCTGCATAATTGGGGACCAGCACTGGTAGGGAGCGAGACCTGCTGTGATGGACTGGGGGGGGGGCTAGTCACGTGCTGTCTATTTACCTAACGCCATGGAAACCAGGATACTCTCCGTCTGTTGCAACTCGAATACAAACTACCTGCCCAGTTTTATCAGTAATGTTCGGAGTGCAGCAGAAAAACGCAGGGCACTTACCCACGAAAACCCTCCTGCACGTTTTGTGAAAAGCGTTTTAAGTAAAAAACGATCCATGTTATAGCACGTTTTATAAAGTAAAAAAATTGTAATATTTGACAAAGGGTAAAAGCACAATCACATATTTGGCGATTGGAATACATTCCAATTTCTATCAGTCCTTTACTTATATTAAATTAAGTCCTTTACTTATATTAAACTTATATTAAAACTAAGGTTGCTGCTGGAAGAGGTGTGAGTGGGGCCAGTAGGGGGCGCTCACCCTGCGGTCCATGTGGGTCCTAATGCCCCAGTATAGTGACAGGGACACTATACTGTAAATAGGAGCCGTCATTCGTATGAGATGTAAAACCGAGGTCCTGACTCTCTGTGGTCATTAAAAAATCCCAGGGCGTTTCTCGAAAAGAGTAGGGGTGTAACCCCGGCATCCTGGCCAAATTTCCCATTGGCCCTTACCAATCATGGCTTCCTAATAATCCCCCTCTATGAATTGACTACATTACTCTGCTCTCCTCCCCACTGATAGCTGATGTGTGGGGAGCATTCTGGTGCACTATGGCTGCCGTCGCATCATCCAGGTGGGGCTGCACACTGATGGTATTGGAAGGGAGTCCCCATTACCTGTAAAGCGCTTTGAGTGGAGTGTCCAGAAAAAGCGCTATTTAAGTGTAAGCAATTATTATTATTATTACAATCCTTTGAAAGAAACACTGTACAAAACGCATAAACACATAGTCTGCTCAACTGCTAGGGCCCATGTCTTAGTCCTGGAGAACTGTAGACCATCCTTGAGAATTTATTGTATGTCTCAGTATAATTCAGACGGTGATAGGCTCAGTTCAACACCTGAGAGCTTGGTTGAAATGAACCCTGGACAGGCTCTCCCCTGAAGACGGGGGTTGTGAATCCAGGCTCTGGAGAGTCTCAGAGCATTCAAGTTTTGGTTCCAACCAAAACTTATTTGTGAAACATGGCTAAAAAAAAGATGTTGTTGTTGTTGGTTCCAACCAAAACTTATTTGTGAAACATTGCTAAAAGAAAAGATGATGCTGTTGTGGAATAAGCCACCAGGTTCATTCCTAGGGTTGAAGGAATGTTCTGAGATGTGGGGCAAGAAGTGGATCTCTTTAGTCTTGGACCAGACGGTGTCAAGATCTGATATCTGTATTCAGAATCCCCAAGGGCACAGAGTGGACACAGTGGGCTCCTTCAGAATCCACAGTGAAACATGAACCAGAGCACACAGGTGGGACTTTGGGGGGAGCGAATTCAAAACTGAGAACCAGGAGCTGCTTCTGTACACAAATCATCATAGGAGTCAGAAACTAGCATCTCATGACACTGAAGCCGATGCCCTGACTTCTTCCAAGAAAAGGATGGCTGAGACACTGGGATCAGATAGCTACTAGCAACCAAATGAGATGGATGACCCCAGCGCCCTCTCGTTTGTAACCGGTGCTCCTATGAAACCTACTGTACAAGGCCACAAGGCCGTCCCCACAGAGCAGGAGCTGAGGGCTTTCTTCCTTTCCTTTCTGGAAGTGGCAGTTTGCTTACAGAGGACCCCCTGAAAGTGAATATTTAAGTGGTCTTCGAGTTTGTGCATTAGTGCCTCAAGGAGCTCGACACAGGGTATCCAATGCAGTGTAGGGACAGACAAGTGAACAGACAAGGTTCAGACAAGGTATCCCTTCATATTGTCCATCTGGGGTTGAGTCCCTGAGTCTGCATCTCCTGTGTCTCTACAATCATCTACCTCCCTCTCCTTTCCCCTTGACAGAAGTATAGGCTATCAAAATCCAATGAATCATACTTATCTGCCTGTCTCATCCAGTACAGAGTATTGTTACATGCAATACATACCCATTTATAAGGCCCTTGCAAATGCACGCCAATTATTTCTATTTAATCGTCGCCCCCTTATCGCCTCAGTGCTACCTGGTCCATGTGAAAGAGAGATGCGATTGTAAAAAGACAAACAGAGCTGTTCAAAGGTTCGTGGCCAACAGTCCTGCTGTTGCAGCTCCCAGGCTTTTGTGCCCTGGTGGGAGACAGAGGGCCCAGATCTTCCAGGGGTGAGTCAGTAGTGAGTCAGCCTGCATCGTAGTGCACGGAGAGGCTTAGCTGTACCACGGTACACTCCTAGTGCCATCCCTTCACACTGCCAGATCTTCGTTTTGCCTGGGTATTATGTGTGAAACCTGACAGTGCCGTATCTCAGAGATGTGTGCATCCCTTAGCTTAGTAAACCTACATGTTCCGGTGGCTATATTCTTAACCAGACAGCGTTGCCATTGTAGATACAGGGTTGAGTAGGGAGATATGTCAGCACATTGATCTGCAAAGGCAAAGGTACGGATAGTTTTGCTATAGCCGAGCCAGTTACGACAAAGGAGGTCAATGAAGTTGTCTTTATTCATGAGAAAGGCAATAAGATCTTTAAAATGCAACGATCAGAGTGTTGGTGAACAGCAGCAGTATTGCTGTCAGGCTGGTTTATTTAGAGGACAAGCAGCGAAGCTCAAACAAGCATTTGTGTTTGTGCTCGGGCTTGCACTGTAACTGACAAGAACACTCGACAAAAAGATCAGCAGCACAGTGAGACATTACCTGTTTGATGTCAATATGGCACAATTTTTAAAAAAATTCTGGATTGTCCTCCCTTATACATGATGACTAATATAATACAGGTTTCACAGATCTTTATTAAAGGTCAAGAGCCTCGGAAGAATAGTTGCATTTGATCGATTAAGCTTTAATGGGACTAAACCACCCCCTGGTCTCTCAGATCTTTAGCAGCTGATAAAAACTGAGACCAGAGCAGTAAACAGCGTTTCAGTACTCACTGTACACAAGAGCTGCAGGGGTGTGGTGCGAGTGGTGCTTTCTTGAGGGGATCAAGAGCTGACTAATGGAAATACACAGTGTGAACGAAGCAGAACCTAAATGCCTGACTCTGGTGGTGATCTGTCAACAGCCCCAGCGCGACTCTCCTGTCACGGACTGCTTGCTGTCTGAGCCGAGCCACTGCCCAACATGTCCCACGCTGACGTTATCAGGGAGGCCTGTTGCTGGAGCACAAAGCGCCACATGTTCTGTAAAGAGTGTCCCCTTTAGGGTCAGTCAAAATACTCTCTGTGCAGTTTTTCTAGGTCCTTAAACATTGAGAAAAAAAAACTCCTGGAGGTCAAGCTTAATGTTGACCTTAATGTCAAAAAATTATCCAACACTTTTCCTGCTGTTTTTGAACAGAGCCTGACAGATGATTATCGTGCACTGTGGCTGTGTGGGCAGGACAAATATCCAGAATCTTTAGACCATAGGGGGATTGTCTTGTGGTAGACTGGAGATTGCACAACACAGTTACACATTGAATCCGCCACAAGCTGTTCTCATTAGAACTCACAGCAATGCGCCGACCCCTGGCGCAGCAGAGATTTACCGCCCTTCACTATAGATTGGTTATTGCCCTGAGCCATTTGTTGTGTCCCACAAGTTGCAGCACTAAGCCCCAAGTCCTTCCACCCGAGCCGATTTAAGGTGTGCAAGCTTCCTAGGGGGCACCATCATAAAAAGGGTACTGGGACATCATCGCATGACATCACTCATTGTCACGGCTCAAAGACAAAATGCTTTCTGCTGTTTCTGCTTCGTTTCCTGCATGCCAGCAGAGACTTAGTGAATATAATTTTGCCTGTCTCTGTACAAAAGCAGTAACAGTACGAGGAACATAACGTGTTCATTTGTGTTGAGCAGGCGCGACTCAAAACGGGCTAAGTTAAATAAATAAGGAGAACTTGGCAGACCTCTCTGTTTGTTCAAAATATTAACTGTAAAATACTTCCCATGTACAAAATAAAGAGTAGGTAAATTAATATTCATCATTCGAAATGGGCTATTCAGTTAACCAAATAATAGGTTTATGTCAACGCCTAGAATACACGTGAATATAGAGTAGCCTAATAAAATAATGTATTTTTCGATAAAATATTAGTTTTAAAGCTGTAAAAAAATACTTTTTGCTTATATTTGAATATTTTATTCTCCATGGCAACTTCATTCTGCTTGGCTAGATTAGAACATGAAACATCCATCGCAATTTTCCAAAGAACTGTGGGTAATACCACCCAGTAAGGTCTGCTC